CACACACACTCAGACACACACACACAAAAAACAGACACACTCACACACACACAAACACACACTCACACACACTCTCTCTAAAGGAAGCTCTCTGAATGTTTTTTTCATACAGTGTTTGATCAGTCCTGACGAATAAATGAAACACTAGATGGCGCTCTTATATCAGGATGATATAATATGAATAGTAAGAAAAATGTAATATCATCTGCATATTTATCACAGTGTTCTGTTCACACACTGACTGGTTACTCCATTAAACCCACCTCCACCTTGTATCTCCACTCACTGTCCACTTTATCAGCTCCACTGAACATATATTTCACTCTGTAGTTCTGCAGTTACAGACTGTAGTCCATCTGTTTCTCTGCATACTTTGTTACCCTGTTCTTCAGTGGTCAGGACCCCCATGGACCCTCACAGAGCAGGTACTATTTGGGTGGTGAGTCATTCTCAGCACTGCAGTAACACTGACGTGGTGGTGGTGTGTTAGTGTGTGTTGTGCTGGTCTGAGTGGATCAGACACAGCAGTGCTGCTGGAGTTTTTAAACACCTCAGTGTCACTGCTGGACTGAGAATAGTCCACCAACCAAAAATATCCAGCCAACAGTGTCCTGTGGGCAGCGTCCTGTGACCACTGATGAAGGACTAGAGGATGACCAACACAAACTGTGCAGCAGCAGATGAGCTATTGTCTCTGACTTTACATCTAAAAGATGGACCGACAAGGTAGGAGTGTCTAATAGAGTGGACAGTGAGTGGACAGTAATTGCAGATACAAGGAGATGGACTTAATGCTCAGTATTGCAGTGTATCAGTGAAGGTTATATAGAGTTTATTAATGTTTATTAACCCTGTTTCTGATCTGTATTTCTACAGTCATCTCCAAACTGATAGTGATCGCGTTACCCATCGCTCAGCTCATCATTGGTACGTATCAGTTTATACACTGTTATTGTTTCACATTGATTTAGCCTTTGATAAGTAAATCAGTAAAACTGATTTATTTATCAAAACATCAATATCAACTTTACAGGGAAGCTTGACTTTGATTGGAAGTCAATGTAAAAAATTCTTCCAAATCATTTTGGCCACTTCTGTTCATCATGAAGTCTAACACAATGTGACTTCAGCTCATCTTTTCAAATTATGTAAGAAAAATAAGAAAAACAAGAAAAATGGAGGCACGATGTTTAGCTTCAACAGCGATGATATATTAGCGTGTGGTCCTGCTGCCAGGTGGCTTTGTTACCGAGTCAGTGTGAACTGGTAGACGAACAGTAAGAAGCAGCTAACATTAGCTAAAGCAGCCGCTAGTGTTAGCTAGTTAGGCTGAATGCTTCTGTGTGTGTTGCTTAGCGATGAGACTCACTGTTGTCCACCTTAACCTGGTCCTCATCGAAAATGTCGTCAGGATATTTTGGCAAAATATGAAGCCGCTAATGTTAGCTATGCTAATCGCTAATGTTAGTCCGTTTGTTTATCAGAAGACTCCTGCGATGCAGTTTGGTCCACATTCAGCCAACGCAGTGATCCACAGTGTTGACTACAAATCATTAGTGCATTGTGGGAGATTGCAGTGTCGTCAGAATCACTGTAAAATTCATAGAAAAATGGTGGAGTTATGAAATATTTCAGCCTAAAACTTTCTCACATATGAAAGAAATAACAAAAACAAACGTCTCTGCATCCCCTCAGGTGGGCTGTACCTGCATAAGTGCCCCATTCAGCCGTACATCCCCATCTACCTGCTGGTGTCGGGGGCATTTTCGGTGGCTCTGGCAGTCCTGTCGTGCCTGCCCTGTACACAGGAGCCGGAGGACGGGAGTCAGAGCGCCCTCAGCAGCCTCTGCACCGCCTGGAACTCGCTCGTCACGCTGTTCCTCTTCTGCTGGTTCATCGCAGGTAAACGCCGCCGCCCTGCAGGAACCGCCGCTCACTGCAGCGTTAAAGTGATACTTCAGCCACCAACACACTGCAATCGGCCGACACGTGTTTGGTGTCTTAAGTTTGCTTCTTAAGTTTAATCTAAAAGTCTAACGTTCGAACTTTCCAGTCCACCTTAAATAGTGCAGCAGTTACATTTTGGCGCCTCCTGCTCCATTTAAGGTGGACCAGACAAATTTAGTAGGGAAACCAACTTCACAGACACAAAGCACCATGCTAATGCTAGCAACGTTAGCATCTAAAGCTGTTTTTGTCTCCCCCTGCAGGTAACGTGTGGATCTACAGTGTTTACCAGCCGAGTTACGACCCGAGTGCTTCAGCTTACTGCGCTAAGGTTCTCTACCTGTTCTCCTTCTGGACCACCACGCTGGTCTACATCCTGCTCGGATTCGCCCTGGTGATGGGCTGCTGTGGGTTACTCTGTATGTGCGTGTGTGGGCGGTCCGGTCTGAGCAATGACTCTGACGGAGTCTAACTGACCACTCCTCCGTCCAGCTGCTGTTTCTGAAAGGAGGAACCTTTGGAGTAACTTAGTTATATTTGTTTTGTTTTGTTTTTGGGGGGCTGACAAACACAGAGCTAGAACAGTGGGGGCACCTTCAGATTTAAATATTTACATTAAATTGATAGTTTGGCTGAAAAAAATCTCTACATTAGCCTCGTAGCCTCCATGCTAATTGGTGAGGTATCTGCATCCATAACTACACCGTATATTTATATGTGCATTTCTCAAGTAAACAGTTCCGTCTCAATTCCCATTTTTTCTGGGGTTTCGCTTTAAAATCTTTGGTTAATCATGCAATAAAGCTGCCTTTAAAGAACAGCTCGAACAAACATGCTAACATGGCTAACGACATATGGAAGCCGTTAGCAGCCTGTTGGCCTGACTCTGCTTGTGTAATGCTAATCGGTGATTATTCACTTGCACTTACTGTAAGCGACATTAGCTTTTTCTGCCTGAACTGTTCCTGCAGCTCAGATTTAGCACATCTGCACCGTCCAGCTGTTTGTGTTACTGCTGTGTCTGTTTATGAATAAACACACTTTACAGCTGTCTGTGTACAATAAACACTGTTTATGTTCATTTTATTCATTTATTCACATAACATGCAAAAGTAAACACAATATTACACACAGAACACTTTCTGAAAAAAACACATGCAACAAATTCTGCTGCGATTGTAGAAAATAAACAAATAAACAGAAGATGAACAAAGAAACAGACTGATGGACTCACTGTAATCGTGCTGTATGAGTGTCTCTGTTGAATGAATCAATGTAAATGTTAATGTAAATTTATTGGTGCTGATGCTACAACGTAGTTTAATACTGAGCAGTGCATTTAAAATGAACATGAAATAAAAAATCTGTTAGAAAAGCATTTTAGCATTTTGCAGGTTCACAGCGCTGAGAAAGAGGAAGTGAGAAATCTCCAGACTTCCTGTTAGCGATTACGCTAAGCCGGGTTTATAGTGATGGGAACAGATTAGCCACTGTCATCATCCAGATAAGGCCACAAACACAGACTGTCATCTGTAGGAAACCTGAACCTGTAACTTTACAGAAGAAGAAACAAACAATCCTCCTTAATGGATGTTAATCCTGGGCTGTTTCTGTTGGTCCATCCAGATGAGTTTTCAAATAGTGTAAAAATAAATAATATTAATAAAAATAAAACGAGTTTTTTAATGGCTGTGATTAAATTTATGCTGCATTTTTTTCTTTTACAGCAGAAACTTTTTGATCAGTACAGAGAGATAAACATGCTGATAAACAGCTCCTCAGAAAACTGCAGTGAACTGAACGTGACAGTGGAACTGCAGTGCGGCGCGGATGATGCAACTGCCTCACTTTACACAACACGGTGTCACCACTGACTGACTTACACACAGGAAACACTCAGCACTTCCACCAAATCGCCACTAAACACCATCCCAGCCCACACGCCGGCCCAGCACCTCCCACCAAACCGCCGCCAAACAGCATCACAGCCCGCACGCTGTCTCAGCATTGGGTTCGTGTTGAGTTGGTGTTGGTTTGTGTTCGATTCTTGTTGAGTTCATGCTGGGTTTGCGTTGGGTTGGTGTGGAGTTGGCGTTGAGTAGGGGTTGAGTTGGGTTGGGGATGGGGTTTGTGTTGGGTTCATGTAGGATTCTTGGTGAGCTCCTGTCAAGTTTTTGTTGGGTTCTTGTTGGGATCTTGTTGAGTTTGTCTCGGGTTCGTGTTGAGTTAGTGTTCTTGTTGAGTTTGTTCATGTTGGGTTCTTCTTGAGTTCGTGTTGGGTTCTTGTTGAGGTTGTGGTGGGTTCTTCTTGAGGTCGTTCTCTACGGTCAGTGGCAGAGTTTCAGTCTATTAAGCACGCCCTGCTGGCCATAGGTGGAATAACACATGCCTATTTTTACAGCACTGAAAAGCAGGAGCGTCCAGTCCTGGTCCTGGAGATCTAATATTCAGATCCCCTGAAGACCTTTATTACCTGCATCAGGTGTGGTAGGTTAGGGGTGTAGCTAAACGACTAAACCTATTTTTTTTTATGGCCTAAATAATACATTTTAATTTACTGACTTCATTAGTATGTTGTTGGTGTCCTGACAAAATCGTCTATCTCCATTTGTATCATTTTTTACTTTTTTGCATAATTAAAAACATTTTATGACGAACCAACCAACAGAAATGATCTAAAATTACCTGCAACAATATGTGTCACCTTATAGCCAGAATGTCCACCACAGGACCCCCAAACCCTCTGCTCACCACGGGACCCCCAAACCCTCTGTCCACCACAGGACTTCCAAACACTCTGCTCACCACAGGACCCCCAAACCCTCTGCCCACCACAGGACCCCCAAACCCTCTGTCCACCACAGCACTTCCAAACACTCTACTCACCACAGGACCCCCAAACTCTCTGCCCACCACAGGACTCCCAAACCCTCTGCTCACCACAGGACCCCCAAACCCTCTGCCCACCACAGGACCCCCAAACCCAATATTGGAACCCTGAGCTAAACACTACAGGAGGATCTCCAGGACCAGGACTGGACACGGCTTGTTTAGCAATACCAAAAACCAGCGAGATGGTTTTGATGGCACTTTGGGTTTTAACAGGCCCAAAGGTGAGTGCTGGGTCCCGTCTCTATAGCTGGTCTATTTACACGAGTTTAAACATTTTCCTGCAGATCACTGGGAACTTAAGAGCGTCTCTCTGGAGAAGAGCGTCTGCTAAAGGCTGTAGAGTCACCATCTCTGATTGAGGGTTCTGAAATAACAGCCCTTCTGGTCCCGTCCAGGGGAAGGTTGGAGTCGCTGCCCCCCCGCCCCCCCACCGTCAACAGCCGGTTTGATCTGGTTTGGTTGTTGGTGTTTAGTCGCTGATGCTGGTTCTCCTCATCATCTCTCTGAGTGGAATGTGGGACACACTGCTTCTCCTCCAGTCACCTACAAACACAAACACGTCTGTTAGACACAGTATTGAAAGCCGTGGCCACCAGCCTTCCTGCTGGAGATCCACTTTCAGCTGGTTTCATCTGCAGCCCGAATCCAAAACACCTCATTCAGCTAATCAAGGCAGTAATGAGATGGAGCAGGTGAGGTGGGTCAGAGATGAAGCTGAGGAACATTTCACATCTGCTTCTGACAGTTCAAACACTATTAACTGTTTTACATATTAGTATTAAAGCAACAGTTCAGTGAAAAAGAGCAGACAACCCCAGTTTTACTGAACCGCCGCCAGCTGCATCACATTTTCACACAAACATCTGTAATACAGCGCATACTGAGATGTGCTGATTACTGTTTGTAGACTTATCACTTTGTAAACTTACAGTTAATCACCAGATTAACGTTAGCTTGACTTCATCGCATCACTGTATATAATACCAACAATTATAACAGTAATAATAATTAAAATGTTGATTATTGTTCAAATGAATTAAGTTACCTTTTTTAAACAGTACAAACATATGGGACTTTTATTATGACAGCAGTGCGCTATGCTACACAGTCACTGGAAGTTCATTTTGTTTGTTTACTTTTGCACTACAGAAGAACTCGTAAGGACGGATTTAGCGACTGGCTCTAAATTAGAGCAAAGTTACATAGCTGTCAATCACAGAATCGTGTAAAATCAAGCAAAATGTAAATTTTCTCTTCAGAGTGTAAACAGCAACAAACAACTCGTTCTCTGGCTGCTGGCTAACAGCGTTAGCCAACCAGTATTACTTTTGCGAATAAATGTAACTTTACAGACCGTTAATTCTGAGTGACCGACGCGTCTTTATGTTATTAGTACGATAATATTACCAGAGCTATGAGGCTAATGTAGCTAACAAGTACACTGTTTGAAGTAAAGATGCAGGAACATTTTTCCTTCTTCAAGGTACAAACAGTGTAAATGTTCCTCAAAGCACCAACAGTGGTTTTAAGGTCTGATTGTGATCCTTAAATAAGTTTTTCCAGGTGAAAAGTTCGTATTTGTACCTTTTCATAACCGAATGTTTTAAACAGAACAGTAAAATAAAAGCCTGGAGACGAGACGGGGTGTGTGGAGTCAGTACAGCTTAGAACATATCATTTCAGTGGATTATGGTTCAGTTATGTTCCCTGACTGAAGGTACTGAGATGAACCCTTGAGGCTCACCTCTCCCTGAGTCTGCTGGGTGGGCGGGGCTTTTCTCTTCCTGCTCTCTGATTGGCTGGCTGTCCTTTGCCCTGCCCTCTCCCTCCTGCCAGTCCTTTAGTGCCTGCTGGAAGGACAACGCCAGGCAGGCGGTGATGTCCCGGGCACGCTCCGGCCGGCGGCACCAAAACACACGGCACTGCAGCTACAGTTACAGAAAACAACATTAAATCCACTTTATTAATCCTCAAAGAGAAACTACATCAATTATTCCAGAGCAGAAGAGTGTATAGTATCCACAAAAGCAGCAGCTTAAGTACTGAACAACTAATAGAACTGGAGTGGAACTTAAGAGGCTTAAATTATGAATTTATCTGTTCCACCTTAAATGGTGCAGCACTTACTTTCTGGTGCCTGAGATGCCAGAATGTAACTGCTGTACAGTTTAAGGAGGAACAGATAAACTCGATAAGAGGCTAACCTCACTTATAAACTTCTGCAGTAAGTTTATTATGTAGCTATGACCAGTATAAGCTTATTAATCGCGAAAGTGTAAGTTTATTATTAATTTGGATGCTAATGACTGAAACAGAACTGAAGAAAAGTAAAATTATTAGCGTTTGAAAAACTCCCCATCGCTACATCTGTGGTAAACATGCTAACTCTCCTCCAACCTCTAGCTGTAGTATCTAAAGCGAAATCTCCAGTTTTTCTGGAGAAAAAACAAACCCTTTCTGGTAACGTATCTGAAATATGTATGTGTATATTTTGAGGAACTACAGCTGCTTTGGATGCAGCTTGGAATATTTCTGTTAGCTAGTTCACCAGCGGCCGTCGCAGAAGGAAGCTAGAGCGCTAACGTTACTGCTAGGAGAGAAAATAACGTATTATAACGGTCACTGCAGTGGACAGCATGTTTAACATGACTCAGATGAGGAACACAAGCTAAAAGCTAAAGTTAGCAAGATGGCTAGCTAGCGAGAAACCTCAGTTTGGCTATCGATATCTCATCTCTGGTGTTTTGTGGTGAATAAAGATGAACCATGAAGACTTAACGTTACTGTCTACTTCAACAGCAGAACTCGCCCAAAAAATGCTGCATTATCTGACACATTTCCCTTTTCAGCCCCTAAAATAATGTTGGACAAAGCTGTTTAAAGTAAACTTTCAATTAGCTGGGCTTTTAATTACAAACGGTTCGATCTGTTCTACAACTTCACCTTACGCTGCTAGCCTGCTAGTTAACGTTAGCATACTAAAGTCTACAAGGCTAATAACAAGAAGGGCATTAAGCCGAGTTTATAGTCAGGCAAAGACGAATGAACTCTAGGTGGACACCTGCGTAACGTAGTCAAGGGCATTAAAAACAGGAATGAAATGCTCCTAAAAGTAATAAACACCTGCACTTGTCCAGGCTGCCTGCAGATGTAGAGGAAGACGTTGGGCCGGGCGGCGTATGTGGTGCAGCAGGCGATGTCCCTCAGGAAGGTTTTGGTCAGCTGTCGGCCCGTGCTGACCTCCTTCACCTCCAGGTAGCGCCGTCGTACCACCAGAGCATGGTCCTTCCTCAGAGACGATACGGCCGGGCTTTTCTCCAGCAGACGGTGGATGGCGTCCTCCGCCTGCTCCATGTCCAGACTGTAGATCTTCTCCGTGCCGAGGTAGTGCAGCCTGAAGAGCGGGTCACCGTGGGACAGAGCGCGGTCCCTCCGAAACCGCCGCCGCAGGACAGCCGGAGATTTCCACAGAGACCGCACCAGCGGGAAGGAGCCGTCCACCGACATCTTTAACCTGAGACAGAGAGAACCTTAATATTCAGACCTCAGGCTTTAATGTGTTCAGCTGCTAATGTACTTCAGTCCATGTTTACAGATCACAGTGAGTCAGAAACCACAACATCGAGACTGTTAGAGATTCTGAACAACTACACACAGTTTGACACGAGCATAATGCGTTAGCACCATGCTAATCCATGGGGTATAAGATATAAGCTTCCATTACTTGTTAGCTATATTAGCCTCATAGCTCCAATGCTAAAACTAAAGAAGCAAACTTCAGACACCAGGTGTGTTTAAAATGCCTTAAACATCTTTAAAATGACTTTAAAATGACTTTGTTTAATAGGCTGCTGTCTGAAAACTCAGACAGGTCATAACTGAAGGTTTAAAATATACAGGATTGTGTGTGTTTGTGTGTTGTTAAGTGAGCGAATGACGCAAAACACGTAAACATATGCAAATGTAAAGAAACATCACTCAGCAGTCGTCACTGCGCGGTTTGGATTTGAATAGCGGTTAAAGTGCAGGTTCAGGTTTACACGAAACAGAAAAAATCACCACGTCACAGTTCAGTACAGACATTATTAATATATAATTAACATTATTAATATTTACTGACAGACTCAACCTCATACACAACACACACACACAAACACAGTCATCAGTCATAACACATAACAAGCCTGTAAACGTGTGTGTTTGTGTGTGGGTGCGTGTGTGTGTGTGTGTGTGTGTGTGTGTGTGTGTGTGTGAGAGAGAGCTGTGTAGATAAGAACACTCTCACACACACACCGTTACATAAACAAATGCAAATCACACTTTGATGAAGCTGCTAAAACAGGACTGTGTAGAGAAAGTGGTCACTGCGGTCAGTAACAGCCTTTACACAACAGGACGACCAGTCTCAGGACTACAGAGTTTAATCAGGAAAAAATGTGATAAATTCATTCAATCAGGTTAAAAATTAGTTAATGGGGAATTTATTAACTATCCAGAACCACCAGTGAACCTACACGAGTCTTCTGAGGTTATATGGAATGTTGATGATGGAAAATAGTGGAAAATCTGAAATAATAAGTTTTCTTTGGGGACTATTTTGCCTCACAGCGCCCTGCATGTATCCCTCCACCATGAATGGAGTTTAAGTTCTCTAAACTATCATAAAACAGTGTCTCAGTCATCAGGCAGTGAATTCATAACCATTTCATGTAGGAACTTTCTGTGAGGGAGCTTTTAGAGGTGGACGTCTGGTTCCTATCACTTGATTATGCAGATATGTTGAAAAAACAGTGGAATTCCCCTTTAAGGATGAAATTGAGATCATTTTAGTTAAATCAAGTAATAATCAGGTTAAATTGAGTTGAGTCAGGTTAAAATAAGGTTAAGTATGAGTTTGATGTTAAATTGGGTTAAATGGAGTTAAATGAAGTTAAATCACACTAAAAATGTTAAATCAGGTTAAATACAGCTAAATGGAATGAAACCATTAAACAATTATAAACAGAATAAATAATTCAGTTAAAAGGATTTACAGTTAGTAGTTAAATGTGCATAACACCAGTTACATAAAGTTAAACTCAGTTAATTAAGTTAAAAGCACTTAAACAGAGTTAAACTGAGTTAATTAACTGCTCTGTTATGAATATTAATAATCTCACATTTCAAATTTATTTACAGACAGAAATCTGAAATACAAACAATATTTTTCTTTAACTTTTTAATTAACTTAAAAAATCATCACAAAATTAAAAACAAAATAAATGCTTTTGGGTGAGTTGTGAGGAGCAGGATGATGCTGTTTGTTTATTTTTTTATTGATTTATGTTCATAAATTATAGATGTACACATTAATTATTATTAATTATTAAGTCAAAATAGTCATTAGACCTAAAATTCCCAGTCATACTTATTACAACACTCAAGCATCAGTGAGTGTTATATTATTTTGTGCAACCTGATTAATATTCATAATATTAATATTCAATGTTTAATGGTTAATAAAGGTTTAGTAGTCGTGCTCTTACGCTCAGATGTTTTTAGCAGTAGTTTGTTTGTGTTGGAGGTCAAAGCACGTGTTTCAATTTGAAAAATGCCCCCAGGCCCCCTTATCACTGCACACACACACACACACACACACACACACACTGTCCCAGACAGATTACACACGCCTCCACAGTTTTAAATAATTCATATTTGAATTAATAAACACGGTCTGTGCTGAATAATGTGCTGCTTTATAAAATAACTGCAGGAGCTCAGAAGTGAAGTTTTCTTCATATTAACAAACTTGTTATTGGAATTATCTGGTCCATCTTAAATGGCACAGCAGTTACATTGCGCCATTTAAGGTGGCCCAATTTGAAAAAAAAGCCAGTTTCAGCCTCGTAGCTCCGATGCTTACAGATGCTGGATGTTCTAAGAAGTTCTACTTCAGTTCTAAAAGTTACTCAGTACTTTTTTAGATGTTTGAACTTATAGTGAGTAAACTCTCCTCACCGCAGGAGGCGCTGTAGAGTCAACAGGAAATCCACATAAAGTCCCCCAGACTCAGTCTGCAGTGTCCAGTCTGTAATGTGGTCAGTAAAGGTCAGTAATGTTCCTCCTGCTGGAGCTCTGAACTCTCCCACTGCAGCTTCACAAGCACGTGGTTTAATTTTAACCAGGGTGGGCGGGGCTAACGGAACGGGGCGTGTGTGTGGTGGGCGTGGCTTACCGGAGTCCGACAGGGAAGAGGAAAGAACTTCCTGTAAATTCACATTCAGCTCTGCAGGAATTACTACTGATTACTGTACGAATATTAATATATGATTATGTAGAATTACAAATACAGACGTTCCCTCATATAATATGTTATATTAAGATATAATGTGTATTATAGGCCTAACATGTATATTAGATCTGTTATATGGATAACAGTGGAACTTCATGCAGACTTGGTTAAAAAAAAAAACAGCTCATATGAAAAAACAAATATTTCAGTACATTTAAATTAAAATTGGATTACATATTTAAACACTGTTAAAGTTTCAAAACTACACAAAAACTGTGTGTGTGTATGTGTGTAAGTTTGTGCGTGTGTGTGTGTGTGTGAGTGTGTGTGTGTGTGTGTAAGTTTGTGTGTGTGTGTGTGTATGTGTGTGTATGTGTGTGTGTGTAAGTTTGTGCGTGTGTATGTGTAAGTGTGTGTGTGTAAGTTTGTGCGTGTGTGTGTATGTGTATATGTGTGTGTGTGTGTGTGTGTGTGTGTGTGTGTGTGTGTGTGTGTGTGCTTAGTGTTCTTGGACCCAGATGACTAAATCAGACTGATGACTAAATCAGATTTCACACTAAAATGTAGTGCAATATTGTTTCTGCAACCGCAGAGTTTCGGTTATTGCAGCACTGCGGGTGGAGCTGAGGGGCATCGTGGGAAACGGGACTCTGATTATTGTTGGGAAGATTTTAAGGGGAGTAAGCAGCAATTCTGACTGTGGATGTTAGAGAACCACTGTGGAACACACGCTAATGCTAACTCTAATGAGAACTGTACACAGAGAACCGTAACAGAGTTAAAGAGAGTCCTGAGTCACCTCATCACCTCCTCCTTATTCTGCTCCCTCACTCAGTCTGTAACAGCGTTCAGCCTCACAGTGTGTCACTGCAGCAAAAACACCTGCTGGAAAAGGACCATCAGGACTACATAATGGTTTTACGTTCTAATGGGAACTGGCATAATGGTTTCCAATAGAGACCACTAGTTTCCTGTAGAACACCTTTAGATCCCATTAAGAAACCATCAAATGCATTTAGAATCAGCCACAGGTCACCTTTTAAGCCATTAGGATCCTTTACACTGTGATATCAATCAATCCATTAAAAAAGACAAAACACAGTACAAAACCATCAGAAACCAACAGAAACACTTAATGGTTTCTATGGGTTTGTTCAGCAGGGCATGAAAACAACTGTAGCGTAATGATAGAAACAAGTGAACTGTAACCAGACCTGGGACGTAACGGAATACGAGTCCTGTACTTACACACTAAATTAAAAATATAACAATCTTCAAAAGAAACATCATCACTGCTTGTTTATGAACTATTTGAGCAAACATGCTCATTAGACAGACTCTAAGGAGAACATTGAAGTTCCTGCTAAAGCCTGAGTAGACTGATAAATCAATCAATCAACCTTTATTTAATCTCGGAGAACATTGAGGGTGCCCCTCATTTACAATGTGGCCGAGTTAATACAGAGCAAGGGACTGATAATGTGGAACATATCAAATAATAAAAGTAAATTCAATAAATGAAGATTCAGATCAGGTAAGTATAAAAAGTGAAACATTAATAATAACAATACATACATCATCTAAACCGCTTATCCTTCTGGGTCGCGGTGGGGTGCTGGAGCCTATCCCAGCTGTCATTGGGCGGAAGGCAGGATACACCCTGGACAGGTCGCCAGTCCATCGCAGGGCAGACAGACAAACATATACATTCACACCTAGGGGCAATTTAGCATGTCCAATCAGCCTGACTGCATGTTTTTGGACTGTGGGAGGAAACCGGAGAACCCGGAGGAAACCCACGCAGACACGGGGGAGAACAGGCAAACTCCACACAGAAATGACCCTGGTCACTCGGCCGGGAATCAAACCCAGGCGATTGTTGCTGTGAGGTGACAGCGCTACCCACTGCGCCACCGTGCCGCCTTAAAAAAAAAAAGGTTAATCAAATCAAAATAAAACAAGAGGAAGATAAGATAAAAAGAATTACTATTAAACAAATTTATTAAAATGACAAATAATAATAAAATAATGATAATTAAAATAAGAATATGAATAAAAATGGATAAGATAACAAATAAATAATAAAATAATGAAAATAAGATAAAAATGGTAAAAGAATCAGGTAAAACAGTGTGAGGCAGAGTGGAGGTGGTTAGAGAGCAGAAGTTTAAGATGACTGAGGGACCCAGTGAGCTGAGCTGTAGTGGTTCCTCTAGTGAGGTCCAGTTCAGTGGTGCTGTAATTAAAAGCAGATTTTCCCAGTTCAGTAAAAACCCTTGGTACCTGGCATGTGATCCATCCACTGGAGCGACTCTGATAAATACCATTATTTACAGATATCACTGAAGTAACATATTCTGGCATACGGCCGGCGAGTGTTTTATAAATAAAAATAAACCAGTGTGTTTCCCGCCGCGCTGCTAGTGAGGGCCAACCAACTTTTTCATACATTCTATGAGGGTCTCCAGTAATGAACCTCAGTGCAGAGTGATTGACTGAGTCCAGCGGTTTGAGGGAACTGGCAGATGCGTGTTTGTAGATTACATCACCATAGTCCATGACCGACAGTAAGGCTGCCTCAACAATTCTTTTTCTAGCTACGTGAGGATTTATTTCTATATAGATAACTGAGCTTCTGCCTACATTTGCCAACCAATTTATTAATATGGGGTTTAACAGTGAGTTTATCATCCAGCCATATGCCAAGGTATTTATACTCAGTGACTCTCTTGATGTTGGATCCCGTCAGGGTAGTGATATTCACAGTATTAAAATCAGTATTAGTAGATCTGGAAAATAGCATGAACTTAGTTTTTTTAGCATTTAAAACCAGTTTGTGTTTACGCAACGCAACCTGTAGAGTATTAAATGAGCATTCATCTTTTTCTTATTGCAGCATAAACAGAGTCAGCTGAGCAGTATAAAACCGTGTCATCTGCGTACAGGTGTACTTTGCAGTCTGAGGCAGAGGCAGCAAGTTCATTAACATATATATCGAATAAAACTGGACCCAAAATTGAACCTTGTGGTACTCCTTTGGATATACTCAAGAAATCTGATTTGTAATTACTCAGTGCTACACATTGTTGTCTGTCTGAAAGGTAATTTTGGGTCCATTTTAGTGCATTTGTACCAAAGCCAATCTTTTGTAGGTTCCTTAAAAGAAGAGTGTGATCAACTGTATCAAACACTTTTGATAAATCAGTAAAAATGGCAGCACAATGCTTCTTCCTCTCTATTGATAAATCAATGTGATCGGTTATTAATCTCAGCGTTACTGAGCTCTGCTAAAGCCTGAGTAGACTGATAAATCAATGTGATCAGTTATTAATCTCAGCATTACTGAGCTCTGCTAAAGCCTGTGTGGACTGATAAATGAATGTGATCAGTTATTAATCTCAGCATTACTGAGCTCTGCTAAAGCCTGAGTAGACTGATAAATCAATGTGATCAGTTATTAATCTCAGCGTTACTGAGCTCTGCTAAAGCCTGAGTAGACTGATAAATCAATGTGATCAGTTATTAATCTCAGCGTTACTGAGCTCTGCTAAAGCCTGAGTAGACTGATAAATCAATGTGATCAGTTATTAATTAACAAGTTACATACATGTTAAGTGTAAATCAGAGCTTTACACTTCATAGACAAATTTGTAAGATTTTGTTTTTGGGAAATGGTGAACTGTTTTCTTAGTTCATGAGACGTCAGTGGTATTATGGGAGCAGCAGTGGGATTATGGGAGCAGCTTTTTCAATTACATGAATTACGTGAGCAGTAACATTGACGAACTGAGTACATTAGATCTGCTTATCATTATGCATTTAAATGTGTCTCAGATGTTTTTCTGAAGATGTTTATTTTTTCATGTATTGTAATGGATCACATTACTGACTGCATTCAGCACAGTGTACTCAGTATTCAGACACCACTTTTACACAGCGCTCTGTCCAAACCTGTCTGTAACCATGGAAACCGATGTAGTGTAACCATAGGAACATGGAAATGTGTGTAGTTTAATCATAAAATCAGGTGTACACATGATGTAACCATCACATACGGAAAAAATATATGGACAGTATGTTTATATATTTGAAATACATTCCAGACACTAAAATCTATTTCAGAATTTGTTGCCATATTAACCAATTTTTAAACTGTATGAGGAAATATTACACATAGACAAAAATAACTGTGTGTAAATGTGTTTATCAAATCCATCTCAAAATGTATGAAAATATCCAGAATCCTGTCTGATGCTCTTCACTGTCTGATACCTTTAGAGATGAATTTGTGTTCCAGTATCTTCATTTTAAATCTGATCAGATGATCCTTTATCAGGACAGAAGCGAGTGTTGTGGGTATTGATACTCTGTGAAAATGCAGTTATGATCTGATATCTTGTTTATGTGAAATACATTGTGTGTGAGAGTCTGACTGCAGACGTACATGGTTAATGTAAAGAACAGTGCAGATCACAGAAGTCAGAACGTTTAGTTACATCTGGAATCTTCATTACACTCAACTCAACACAGATAATAACTAATACATATAAACACATTGTAAATAAATATAACAAACACATTTAGGCCATTTTCATACACTGTAAAAATGTGTTTGATAAACCCATTTGGAATATACATATTTTTCCGCGTGGGATGTAAACAGGTGTAAGGCTCCATTTAAACAGCGTAGAGTAACCGTAGAAACGGGTGTGTCATACTGATCAGTACATCAGTGCTGTAGGTCATTATCAGGATTCTGAGAGCTGGACAGTCCGATCAGATCTGCTTTATTGACACATTTCAGACTGCAGGTCAGTTGGGGCTGATTCTGAGACGTGGAGCTCTCACTCACTGAGGAGACGCCTGTCCACTGCAGCTCTGCGGGTCTGTCGTGGGGTCTCCTGGTGGGCTGACGAGATGATCTCAGTAAAGCTCTCAGTAACGGTGTGACTGGTCAGTGCGGTGGCCGTGGACTCTGGACCCTCCACATGACCCTCTGTCACATGACCTGGTGTCATCGGGAGTCTGCAGGCCTAATATGGTCAGAATAAACAGGCCGCGCTTCTCAGAGCTGCGGTTCCCAGACGGGATGAAGTTGATGAATAACTCAGATATTATTCCTGATCTTCTGCGTCATCTCCGAGAGCGCAGCTGACCGGGTCACTGCACAGACCTCTGAATATCAGCGGCTTTCAGAGAACAGCGGTATTTACGGATCAGTCAGCCGATCAGCTCCGCACTGCGCAAATCAAACAGAGTCAGACTGACCATCAATCACTGATCAGACTCTCTGATCTGCTCTGATTGACCTGCACAGCTTTAATGAGCCTCTGAGTTGCAGCTACTCTTTACTCCTGCAGGGGGCAGCACTGTGCACTGTCCCCTCAGCCAGCTCACTGCACCTATAACACCCAACCATGAGCCCTGGTTTGGTAAGGGGGGCATTTTATTTGCCCTGGTTTGGTAAAGGGGGCATTTTATTTAGCCTGGTGGGGTAAGGGGGGTATTTTATTTGCCCTGGTGGGGTAAGGGGGCATTTTATTTAGCCTGGTGGGGTAAGGGGTTTTTTATTTTCCCTGGTGGGGTAAGGGGTCATTTTATTTGCCCTGGTAGGGTAAGGGGGGTATTTTATTTGCCCTGGTGGGGTAAGGGGGTATTTTATTTAGCCTGGTGGGGTAAGGGGGGTATTTTATTTAGCCTAGTGGGGTAAGGGGGGGATTTTATTTGCCCTGGTGGAGTAAGGGGTAATTTTATTTGCACTATTAGGGTAAGGGGGTATTTTATTTGCCTTGGTGGGAAAAGGGGGCATTTTATTTGCCCTGGTTGGGTAAGGGGGGTATTTTATTTGCCCTGGTGGGGAAAGGGGGCATTTTATTTGCCCTGGTGGGGTAAGGGGGGTATTTTATTTAGCCTGGTGGGGTAAGGGGAGTGTTTTATTCGCCCTGGTGGGGTAAGGGGGTATTTTATTCGCCCTGGTGGGGTAAGAGAAGTATTTTATTCGGCCTGGTGGGGTAAGGGGAGTATTTTATTAGCCCAGGTGGGGAAAGGGGGCATTTTATTTGCCCTGGTGGGGTAAGGGGGGTATTTTATTTAGCCTGGTGGGGTAAGGGGAGTATTTTATTAGCCCAGGTGGGGAAAGGGGGCATTTTATTTGCCCTGGTGGGGTAAGGGGGGTATTTTATTTAGCCTGGTGGGGTAAGGGGAGTATTTTATTCACCCTGGTGGGGAAAGGGGGCATTTTATTTGCCCTGGTGGGGTAAGGGGGGTATTTTATTTAGCCTGGTGGGGTAAGGGGAGTATTTTATTCGCCCTGGTGGGGAAAGGGGGCATTTTATTTGCCCTGGTGGGGTAAGGGGGGGATTTTATTTCTATTTCCTGGTTTAGCTGATTTATTTGCGCAGCTGCGTAAGTCTTGCGGCGCGTTGACGCTCTTAAACAGTTTCGAGTCGCCGCGTTTCCTGCGCGTGCAGAAAGTTTCACACTGTTCGTGCGCGCGGAGCGGAGATCAATTAACCAGAAAAACAACCTGGTCAATAATCAATAATCTGACCAGCATGAAATACAGTATCAGATCAGCACGCGCACAGGACTGCAGGGACATAGAGCGCATGATCATGGTGAGAGAGAGAGAGAGAGAGAGAGAGAGGTTTAGTTGTAGTGCCTCTGCTTCTTTACTGTTTAATGAGATTTTTTCATGTGTTTGTGCGCCTATTAATAGTTTTGGCTGTGATGTGTGTGTAATCAGTGTGTGTGTGTGTGTGTGTGTGTGCAGGAGTTGGCTGTATATGAGAAGATGCCTGACCAGGTGAAGATCAGTCATAAAGGTCAGTGTACAGCCTTAGGCGTGTCTCAGGTGTGGGAGGTGTGCTGTGTTCAGGTCCTGTGTGTGTGTGTGTGTGTGTGTGTGTGTGTGTGTGTAAAGGCTCTGTTTGTTCTGTTGTGTGTGCAGAGCTGGAGCGGGACGGTTTCGGTCCAAACCCGTTCTATCAGTGTCTGGTGGCGGAGGTTCCTCAGGAGCGCAGCTCAGCAGAAGGTGCAGTAATGACAGTAATCAGGCTCAGTGTTTCAGGCGCACATTAACGGTTTTAATTAATTAACTAATTAATAATTTCTGCTGTGATTCAGATCCACATCTAACACAGTAAATCATGTCTGACCTAAACTCCAGTTCCAGAGCCCTGATCTATAATCATTAATCAGTCATACAATCATAAACACACAGTTCAACATCACTAACTGAGTTAAAGGGAAATTCCACCAAATTTCCTAATTTCCTTCATGATTCAGTGTTTAAGATTAAGAAACAGAGTCGCTCAGAGTGGTTTGGTGTGAAACGCTCTGTTCTAGAGAAACTTACCGAGTCAGAACTGTTCACAGTGGTGGTGATAGGAACCAGACGTCCCCCTCTAAAAGCTCCCTCACAGAAAGTCACTACATGAAATGGTTATCATCCTCAACGCTCCATATAAACTAAGAAGACCCGTGTAGGTTCTGGTGGTTCTGGATCTGTAGGCGTGTTCGCTGTCTGAGGTTTTTTCTTTAGTTTTAGCACTGGAGCTGTGAGGCTAATGTAGCTAACAGCTAACAGAACCCTGTACCCACGATGCTAACAGCATAGCAGTGAGTGTCTTTGTTTAGTATGAGAGCTGAGTGGGTGTGGTCTCTCTCTCTCTCTCTCTCTCATCTCTCTGTAGGTCACACGGTGGTGGGCTACGCTCTCTACTACTACACCTACAGCACGTGGAGGGGGAGGTGCATCTACATGGAGGATCTGTACATCATGCCTCAGTTCAGAGGTGGGTGTTTCTGGTGGGGTGGGCGTCACTACAGACCCCCCCCCCGGTACGATATTACCACGACACTCTTAGGGCTGTTCAGGCGTGTTTGTTGGGTGGGCGTCACTACTGGAGTAGTCACTCCAGTTACAGTATTGCCAAAGCATCATCAAAAGGAACAAGAAGAATTAACATTTAGAACATTACAGAGTATTAAAACTCTTCATTTCATTTGATATAAATATAATTATGACAAGAATCACAAAATAATAGCAAAGATAGTGCTTTGGAAATGAATTGTAAAGAAAATTAAGAGGAAAAATAATAAATAATAAAAATTTAAATAGGTAAATAAAGATGTTTACAAACAGGGCAGTTTTTGATGTCGTGTGTGTGTGTGTCTGTGTTTCTGTGTGTGCGTGTGTGTGTGCTTACAGCGGCCGGTCTGCACGGCCAGGCTGTGTTCGCTGAGTCTGTACTGTGTTCTTATAGCGGCCGGTCTGCACGGCCAGGCTGTGGTCACTGAGTCTGTACTGTGTTCTTATAGCGGCCGGCCAGATTTGAATTGGTATTTGAGAGTGAATTTGTCGTTTGATTGCGTAAAAAGCCCTGCGCGCTTTCTCTCTCAGCTCATTCACTGCTGGATTGAAGTTTCCAGTTGAATTAATCTTCAATCCTAGATAACTGAACTCTTTACAGGGGTCTAATTTGAGTGTCCCTAGTGTGAAGCTGGATGTGTTTCCCTGAGATCTGGATCTTTTTTGGAAAATGATTGTTTTGGTCTTTTTCAGATTTACTGCCAGGGCCCAGGTCTGGCAGTACTGCTCCAGCAGGTCCAGGTTCTGCTGTAGGCCCTGCTCTGTGGGGGACAGCAGAACCAGGTCATCTGCATAGAGCAGGAACCTGATTTCTGAGTGGTGCAGAGTGAGACCAGGTGCTGCAGAGCGCTCTAAAGCTGTGGCCAGTTCATTATTGTAAGTGTTGAATAGAGTTGGGCTTAAGCAGCAGCCTTGTCTCACTCCGCGCTCCTGAGAGAAGAAAATCGTCCTTTTGGTGCCAATTTTTATACCGCATTTGTTATTTGTGTACATAGATTTAATGATGTCATATGTTTTGCCCCCTACACCACTTTCAATAACTTTATAAAATAGTCTGTGCCAAATAGTATCAAAAGCCTTTTTGAAATCAATGAAACATGCAAAAATTCTGTTTTTATTTTGATTTACGTGTAAATCGATTAGGGTGTGTAGGGTGTAAATATGATCTAATGTGCGGTGATTTGGTATGAATCCAATCTGACTTTTACTCAAGACACTGTGCTTCATAAGGAAGTCTATGAGTCTGGAATTGATAATGCTGCAGAGCACCTTCCCCAGATTACTGTTCACACAGACGCCTCGGTAGTTATTAGGGTCGAATTTATCTCCACTTTTGTAGATGGGCGTAATAAGACCTCGACTCCAGATGTCAGGGAAATAACCTGCACTCAGAATCATGTTAAAAAGTTTGAGAAGGGCCAATTGGAATTTTTTGCTTGTGTTTTTAATCATTTCGTTCAATATGCCGTCAGGCCCACTTGATTTTTTAGGTTTTAGATGAGATATTTTATCTCTCAGTTCCTGCTCAGTAATGGGGGAGTCCAGGGGATTCTGGAACCCTTTTATTGCCAATTCTAATGTGTTTAGTTTTTCAGTTATGTTGTTTTATTCAGGTTTGATGTTGCTGGGTACTTTATTATATAGTGATTTGAAATGTGTGATCCATATGTCTCCATTCTGAATGACCAGTTCCTCTGATTTTGGTTTATTTAGGGTGTTCCAGTGTTCCCAAAAACTATTTGTACTTATGGACTCCTCCATTAGTGTCAGCTGTGCTTGTGTGTGTTGTAATTTTTTGATTCTGAGTGTACGTTTGTAAAGTCTCAGAGTCTCACAGTATTGAAGGCGTAAATCTGCATTATTTGGGTCTCTGTGTTTTTGATTTGATAATTTCCTTAATTCTTTTCTAATTTTCTGACATTCAATATCAAACCACTTATCATCACTTGGTTTTTTGGGTTTGTTTCTGGATTGTTTTAATTTACTTGTTTGAGCAGTTGTAGTAAAATGTGATTAATATTTCTGACTGCAGGATTGACTCCTTCATTACTGTGAGTGTGTGTGGTGTCCAGAAAGCTGTCTAAAATGTCTGAATTTTGGGGTCTCTGATTGCTTTCTGGAACTCCTCTGTGCTGTTTTGGGCCCATCTGGTCTCCTGATGCTGTACAGCTCACTGGGCTGAGTGTGTGCAGTGCTGTTAGTCTCTGTCCTTTTAATGAACACAGTGATAGAGAAAGGGTCTAAGTCTGTTATCATATAATCTACTGTACTGTTTCCAAGAGGTGAGCAGAAGGTAAATCTCCTTAAAGAGTCCCCTCGTAACCTACCGCTGACAATGTACAGACCCAGACTCTGACAGAGCTGCAGGAGGTCCTTTCCGTTTCTGTTCACCTGTGAATCAGAGTTGTATCGGGGGAGGTTGGTGATATTTCCTGGGTGTCGGTGTCCGAATATATAATTGTTACCTTGCTCTGTGTTGAAGTCAGGTAGAGATCCAGTGCGAGCATTCAGGTCCCCACAGATCAGCACACTTCCCTGGAAGCTGCTGATCTGATCGTGCAGACTGGGGAAAATGTCTTCGTCATAATAAGGGGATTCACTGGGAGGGATGTAGACTGTGCATAAGAAAAGGTCTTTTGGAGTGTCGGTGATTTCCTTTTTAATTTTATGCCAAATGTGTGATTTTTCAAGTTTCAGCTGGACTATGAATTTTGATAGCTCTGATTTGTACCAGATAATAATTCCACCTGAATTTCTACCTTTTGTAATATTAGGGTGTTTAACAGAGGGAATGATGATTTCTTTGTAGTTTGTGGGACAGTGAGTGATGCTGTCTGATTTACACCAGGTTTCTTGTTAGGATGATAATGTCAGTGTTTTTTGTAAATTCATGGTTTTTACTTTTGTATCCAAACAGAGATGATTTTATGCCCTGACTGTTCCACATAGAAATAGATAAGGGTTTCATTTTTAACATGAATGCAAGTACAAATAAAATAGATTTTAAAAGGAGATAAACCTGTGTAAGTGAGGGGACTATTGGTGTGTGTAACATATAGACATTTTAACAAACTATGTGCAATTACAGTCTCATGTTGTGAGCAGTGAACACAGAACTTAGCTGAGCAGTTTGGTGCATATGAGACTGAGCAGCTGTTTGATCTCGCCCAGGTCTGTAGTGCTGGTGGGGGCCGGATTCTTCACTGCGCTGGCGTAGCTCTGCTTCAGTGGCTGATTGATGGGGCCGGGGACTGGTAGTGGGTGCATTTTGCTGGTCGGTGGTGGGCGGGTTGCTGGTCTAGGTGTGGTGTGTCTGTGCAGGTTGGTGGTCCGGCGAGCTGGGGTTGCTCTGTGGGTGGAAAGGCTGTGCGGAGGCAGGGGGTGGTAGTGATGGATGATAGGGTGCGTGCTGATCTTTCTAGGTGATGGTGGATGGAGTTGTCTGGCTGCATGTAGGCTGGGTGGTCTGCTGTTTCTCAGGGGGCTGCGTCCAAGGGCCACATCTTTTAGGTTTTTG